GTGCCCAGACTAGACTCGGAGACTGGTGGTGACAGTGGGAGGTGCAGCAGTGCACAGCCATGTGCCTGAGTCCCCCTGGAACAGCCTGTGGGAGACCAGAAACGAGAGTGGCACCAGCTCCCCTGGCCCAGTGGGATGAGGCCTCCTTCCCAGGGTGACATGGAGGGGGGGAGGGGGGATGGGGGGGAGTGTAGGACAGGGTCTGGTTCTAGGACCCCCTCCCCAGGCCCGCCCACCCCACCTCCCTGCCCAGCTGCCCTCTGAGGTCAGAGAGGCACATGGCAGGGCTTCCCCCTGAAACTCCCAGAGCCCAGGCAGGGCCTGGCTGAAGAGGGGTGCAGGGAAGAGAAAGTGTGTGAAGCCAGGCCTCCCGTGCAGAGGGGGGTGGGAAAGAAGGTCATGGGGGGTCCAGCTGCCCACACAGGGAAGGTTCTGGAATTCCAGAGACCAGCTGGCTGCAGTCCTGGAGAAATCAAGTCCATGATGCGTCCCCAGAAATTCCTCGAATGCCCTGGGGCTCCTTAACTTTTCTGGGCCTTGGTTTCCACAATTCAGGACGTTGATACTTGGATAATCTGTGAGGATTTATCATGGCGTTCACTCTGTGTCAATAGAAGCGGCAAATTAAAAAATACAACTTTTTAAGGAAATTAAAGCATCATGGGTGTACAAAACTGACCCTGGGACATGCAGGGTGTGTGTGTGTGGGTGTGTGTGTGTGTGTGTGTGTGTGTGTGTGTGTGTGTGTGATGTGAAGGAAACAAGTAAATCCTAACCTTCCGCAAGGAAAACAATAAGAATGCAAAGGAGCACTGCACCCCAGGGAACCATGGAAGAAGGCTGTGCCCCCCCCCCCCCCCCCCCGCCAGTCCCTGACACTTGCTGCTGCTGCCCCTCCTGCTACAGCCTGGGAGTCCCCTTAGGGCCAGTGGTGTGGCCAGCTCAGGGACCTGGCCACCTTACAGGAGCAGAATTCTAGCTCTTAGTATTTTGGGTGAGCTGAGCCTGCAGTGCAGGCTTCACAGAGAGTTGCTACGACAGGCCTGCGAGGTCTTGCTTCCTACACATTGCCCACCGGTGAGTTTTCACCTGACGTGGCCTTTGCACAACCTGTTGGTGGCTGAGAAGTACGGGGGCCCCCTCGGGTGACTACTGGATTCGACGACAGTGGAGTGGCAGTTGTCTCCACAACCTGTTTCCTTGTCGTGCCAGCAACGCCCCCCTTCTTCTTCCTGGCTTTCCCGAAGTGCTAACTGAAGGATACTTGTCAGGATCCTCTCAGCCTTGCAAGAAGCCTTCATTGACACCCCACCTGGTTAAAAGACGCATGGCTGCTAAACTGAAGGAACTGAAGGCCGGAGGGAAATTGTTAAAGTTGCTGAGCGCCCACCACCCATCGACGCGTCCTTGAACCAGGTGGAGGGAACCTCCTTCAGAGACCCAGCTGCCTCCATGTGGACACTCTGCTGAGGGCAACAGGCAATCTGAGCCCAACCCCAGGACCCTGTGAGTCTGCTCTAACATATAAACATTCCCTTGGAAACTTCCTTTATGTCTCAACCCCAACATCCATGTCATGATCTTCCCCCAAGCACATGGCCCACCGATACACAGCTGAAGGGACTCATGACTCGGGCTTTATTAGTGACCTTTCCCAACAGCAGCTGGCCCCTCAGGGTCCTGGAGACTGTGCTTCCAAATTCCTTAGAGACCCACGCTTTCCCTGACCCCTCCCGACCTGAGAGTCTATAACCAGCCACTCCTCCTGACCCCAGTGCAGCTCTCTGCCCACAGGTCCTGTCCCCGGGGGTTTAATAAAACCACATTTTTGCAGCAAAGATGCCTCAAGAATTCATTCTTGGCTCTCGGCTCCAAGCCCTGATGTCTTTTCCTACATCACATGCCACTATTAAAGAAAAAATTGAGGACACTTGTTAATACAAGTCTACTCATGGGACTATTAGGACCGGTGTAGGGATGAGGCAATGGGGTCTTGCAGTGGGGGGTGAGGAGGGAGATTGGCCCGAGTCTGAATACAACAGAAAGCAGGAATTTATAGCCAAGGAGCCAGGTGGGAGGTGGTGGGTAGAAAGTTAGGCTGGCGGGGGAATTCTTGCAGAAGGCAGGCGGGCATACTGTGACATCACCAAGGGGCAGCTCATTGGGTGCCTGGGGGGGGTGACCAGGCATGTCCAGTGGGCTCCACACGGTACCTGCCAAAGTGGGACAGTGCGGAGATGACCCTGGATGCCCACCAGACCAGGTGTGCTTGAGAAGCTGCTCCCGGAGGCCTGAGAGGCGGTGCTGGTGGAGAGAATCCTGGCCTGCAGCAGGCTACCTTCTTCCCGCACAGGAAGGGGAGGCGGGGGAGGCGCGGGGCTCGTCCAGCGGCAGGCAACAAGGCCCAGGAAACGCTGACCTGCACAGACAAGTCCATGCTCTTTTCCCGCGTCCAAACAGCACGTGTGCTTGCGAGACCTCAGCTCTGTGTAAGCCTGCAAGTAGCCCCTCCCACCCCGTGAGCTCTTGAGCACCCCCATAAGGCGACTAATGCCGCGGGGGTGGGGGCGTGGGGGGTGCGTGGGAGGAACCGTTACTGCAGGCAGGTCGCAGAGGGACGCCTGAAGCTGGCCGAGGATGGCCTGAAGCTGCCGTGGGCCGGAGCACGAGCCATGGACTGCCCGGGAGGTCCCTTCAGGGTGCTCGGGGACCCTCCTGACTGCAGGCTTCCTTCCCTCGGCTTGAACCCGTCCCGGGGTGGGGCCTCCCCGAAAGCGCAGCGCCCCCATCTGCAGCAAATATATCACCCCCGGTCCGTTTACCTGCACGCTGTCCCTCATTGTCCCTCCGTCGACGGGGGCAGCCTTGTCGTTGCATCTGAGGGTTTCGGGTCCCCCACCCCCCACCCCGAGCTGACCCGCCCAGCGGCTCGGAACCCCTGCACACGCGAGGGAGCAGCTACGCGGGCCGTGCCCTCAGCGGGCCAAGGATGGCTCTCCACGCAGGCGCAGGCGGGCAGAGCGCGGGGTGGGCAGCCTGCGGCAGGTGCGGCCCGGGAAGGAAGACAGCGGGAGGGAGCCCGCGGTGACCTCGGACAGGACTCTCCCGAGGCCCTTGTTTATGGAGAGAGAGCCTTGTTTACAGACAAGATGCGGTGAACAGGGGCGCTGTGGGGGCTGCGCAGCCCCGCAGGGAACTTCTTGACCCCCACCCGGGGCGGGGCGGGGCGGGGCTGTTAGGACTCTCCCTCTCCCTCTCCCCGTGCTCATCTCAAACTTTCTCAAATAGATTTTCAGTGTCATTAAAAAAGAAGACTGTGAACAGGACTCTGCATATAATCTTATCACACCGCAAGAGAATAGTGTGTGTATGGCGGGGGTGGTCCTTCCAGGCTGGGTCAGTGTCCTGGGTGCTGTGGGCAGGGGGGTTCCTTCCAGGCTGGGTCAGTGTCCTGGGTGTTGGACTCTGGGTTACCTGCCAGCACAGGAGTCCCAGGCTCCAGAGTTGGAAACAGAGGCCACAGCAGGACTGGCCTCGCATGGAGGCCGCAGGGACAGGTCCTTCCTCTTCATTTCCTAACCCCTGAGGATGACCAGCCATGCAGGGTTCCTCCCACCTCCACCTGTGTGTCTGTCTACACAGACTACTGACTTGTTTTCTAAGATGTTAGTTTGCAGGCGCCTGTGTGGCTGAGTTGGAAGAGCACCTATTCACACTGGGTAGTGAGTTGAAGCCTACACTGGGTGTAGAGATTAATAACGAGATAAATGAACATAAAATATTTTAGTTTAAAATTTCTATTTCCAACGTGGGGCTGGAACCGTGACTCCAAGATGGAGGGGGAGGTCCCACCACTGAGCCCACTGGGTGCCCCAAGTAACCGACCTGTACAGCATCATTAGATTCAGGGCTCACTCATTCAGCATAACCCCCTTCTTAACCTGGGCACACCTGAAAGATCCTACTTCCAAATGAGGTCATATTGATAGCACTGAACATTATGACTGGAACAGACCCTATGTGCCCAGGAACCACACCACGCTCCAGGATGGCCTTCCCTGAGGTGGCAAAGGTGGAAGTGCCAGAAGCCATCATATAAGTAAATCTCTGAAGTAGGTGCACTGTGTGTACAAGGGAAAGGAAAGCACTTGAGTAACTCAGGACTCACATCTGGAGCAAAATCCAGGTGTTTCAGCAGCAGGAGAATGAACTGATGGAAACATAAGGACATGTGGCAGAAACTGAGGAGTGTAAAGGTTCACAAGGCACTAACGGAAGAGAGTGGATAAAGATCCACTCAGAATGGGGGCCATGGTGCTATGGATATTACTACATGTTCTGTCCTCTGATGCATGTGATACAGAGGACGGGTCACCAGATCTGCAAAGAGAAACATCCCTTCATCTCAGCATTTCAGTACCGTACAGAGCAAGGGGAGACGCCAGATTTTTCTGCCCTAGGAAGACAAAAAATACTAGGTAAGGACACGAGGGGCAAAGGACTAATTACCGGAAACTGCACACCTGGATGCAGATGGAGTGGATCCAGGATGGGGGCTGTGCTCTGAGAGGGGGATCAGGACATACAGGAGGGGATCCAGCCTGGCGTCTGTGCCTTGAGATTATGATCAGGACACACTGTAGGAGATCCTTGGGGCCCTGTGATGAAACACCGTCGTTATTGTAGCAGCAAACTCATCCCAGTTAATGTATTTCCTCCCCCCAACACCTGGTTGTGTCAACCTGACTAGGTGCCCCTCCCTGAGCCTCAGGTTCCTGGATCTCAGTTTTCACCTATCCTGGCTGGCAATGGAACGTTAGAAAGGACACACACACATACCTAGTAACATCCAAGGAACTGTGTGCCCAGGGTGGTTCCTTGCTGAGTGAAACCTTCCGGAGCTTTAGTGTGAAAATCAGTGAGAGTGATGACAGGCAGGGAAGAGGGATCCAGCTGAGCTCCTGCAGGGCCTCAGGATTCAGGCTGTTGCAGTTGTTAGAATGCCCATTGTGTGCCCATGTTTTCGTGATTTACTCTTACCTGTGACATCCCAGGTCCCCTCGCTGGGCTTCACTGTGAGTACCCCCGTAAGCACCCCCTCCCCTCCAGACAGCCCAGGACCCTTCTCAACCCTGCTATCCACCTGTCATGTCTCCATGGTGGGAGCACTTGCAGAAGTGTGCCTGGTACCCATCTCTTCCTCCATCCTTCCACTGGAACCAACCCTGGAGGGAGGCCCTGCGCTTCCCCTTCTTCTCTTGGATCAAGTGTGTTCCAGCCCCATCTGAGCTCCATCCCTCAAACACCAGCACAAAAATCTGCTTTTCCAGTTATTGGAATGTTGATATCACAGGCAGGCTCCAGGCCACCCAGCTGGGTTCACATTCGCACCCCTGCACTCACAGGCAGCACCCCAGAACTAAGGTTTGAGGTCCTGGTGGTGTTTTTCTGACCCCACACCCAGCAGCGAGTTCCAGGAAAGGGATGGTGTCTTTCTCCCATGCCGACTAGGCCATTCCCCAGGTTCTCCTTGGAGCCCCAAGCAGTCCGTTCTGTCCATGGTCTGTGTGTCCTTCTGAGTCTTTTCCCTTCAACAAAAGAAAAAGAAAGCACATAAAAATAGATGACAGCCCGGAGGCTTGCATTGTAACCAAATTCATGAGGCCAAGTCCCTTCACTCAGTGGATTCTGATGGAGCCCCTTCCAGGAGATGCAACTTCTGATGGATTTGGGATGCCTGCCTCTGGAAGCCCGTGAATCAGTCACAATGATATCTGGCACTGTTATTTCTAGGATTGTTTGCAGAGCTAGAGTTTGTGGAACCTCTACTATGCCCAGAACCATGAAGACCATTTACTGAGGAGCCTCCCAAGCCACAGGGAGCTGGGCCATCCTGGCATCTAGCCAACCCCACAGGCCACGTGTGTGGCCTGGGTGCTGCTTCTACTGAGCTTGCAGGGGTATGGACCAGGCTCGTCTGCATCCACATTGGGAGGCAGCACATCTGTGTCCCCTGGACGTCCACAGGCCCATTTCATAGAGGACTGACCTGCTCCTCAGGGAAGACTGTGTGGTGTGCAGACTCCGGGTTTGGGGGAACCCAAGCCTCACAGTGTGCAGTTCCCATCCCACGGCTGGCAGCATCTGTCACGTCCTCTGCTATACCCCACTCACCTTCCCAGTCAGAAAATGATCATGTCACCCCACCTCCTCCACACTCTCAGGCATCCTTACCTCCTGCTCCTCTCTGGGAGGGCCCTGTAAGTCAGACGTCACGCATGGTTCCCCAGGGAAAGGGGGATCACACGTGTGTGTGTGTGTGCGTGTGTGTGTGTGTGTGTGTGTGTCTGCACACGTGGGGAGGGATAAAGAGAGAGAATAATTGATTTGGGATATGCATGCAGAGAGAGAGATATAGGGCACAGATGTAGACATGTTTAGGGTACGCATGTAGAGATGGTGTAGGGTATGTATGTAGAAATGTCTAGGGCATATACATAGAGGTGTTTATGGTATGTACGTAGAGATGTGTACAGCTGTGTCCTCTCCCTCACCTTCCTACTCACTCTGCTCCAGCCCACAGGACTCTAGCGCTGCCCATCTGCTGAGGAGTCTGGAGCCACCCCCAGACCAGTGTGCTGGGCTCCTCTAGCCTGCCCTGGTGGCACCCGCACCCTGTGTATTATCCCTGTTCTGGGAAACATGCTCGCCCGTGTGGAGCTGCAAGGCTGGCAGTGCCCAGGTTCCCTCCACCTGGGGCAGCTCCTCTTCCCCCAGTCCCCTCCCTCTTCCCAGCCTGAGAGCTGCCCTGGCCCGGTTCTGCCAGCCGTCCTGCACCCATGCTTGTCCCTCCCAGGGTCTCAACTCCTGCTATGTGCTGTGACCCCAGCTTTCTACCCTCTATCTCCGCTGTCTCCTCCAACAGTCATCACTACTTTGATGACCCAGCAAGTCCAGAAATCTAGCCTTGGCTCCCCAGCCCTGCCCAGAAGTCTGCTCACAGCTTCCTAGAGGCACTCCTGAGTCACCAATTCAGACCCAAACCACAGCCATTCCTCTAATGTCCCGCTGCCCGCAAGGTGCGTCTCGCCAGGTGCGTCTCCTGCAGCCCGGGGCCCAGCATCGCCCATGGTGTGCAGCTCCCCAGCATCTCCTGCGCCTCCCTGGCCCAGCTTTCTCACAACGACCACGGGAAGATTAATGTCCCCTCTGCCATGGCCCTGCTGGAAACCCTGAGAACGACATCCAGTCACCCATCGTGTCCTCTCCCCACTCCAGCAGAGGGAGGCCTTCGCACACAGCTCCCAGTGCTGGAATGCTCATCCCCAGCCACCCTCCTTCCAAAACCTACTGGACCCTTGCCTGCTCCCTGTCCCAATGTCACTTTCTAATGTCACTACCTTGGCAGGCTTCTCCTGATTACCCCATTTCATTTTATTCATTTTATTGGTGTGGCATCTGTCACCAATGTGTTATATACCACAGGGGCACTGATTTATTATCACATTTCCTTTCAAGCTTCCAGAAGCTGGGATCTTACGTCCACTGTAGTCTCTCCAAGGATGGAAGAATTGGTGGCAGATCGGAAGTTTTATGAAATCATAAAAATAAACCCAATGAGCAACAGTCACAGAAACCAAATGAACATACCTGTGAGCATGAGATGGGTGACGGCCGTTGGGCAGGGTCTACATCAGGGCTCAGCCTATGGTGCCTGACACAACGCCATCTGGTGCAGGGAAAGGGGCATTTCCACGGCTTCTGTGCGCTGCCCCCAGCCTCCAACTTACCCCTCCCTACTTCACTGGCCACGCAAGCCCTGGAGCTGCCCCCCTGGGCCCTTGCTGTGGTGGGGCCTCCACCTGGGACGCTGAACTACCTCCCTCGTCTCAGGTATCACTGTCACAGGGGAAACAGCCCTGACCCTGGCACACCATGACCACTGCCACCCTGCCTCCAGCACCCGCTACTTGGCACTGTTCCAGCTCTGCCATACAGATCCAACAGAGCAGATCCTCTTGATTCTGCTGCTTCCCAGCACCCTCATGACTAGCTGCCTGGGCTCACGGAGGAGCCCTAAGTGCCCAGAAGCCTGGACATGCCTGGCGGATGGTCATTATGTTTCCTGAAGGCCTGAGCTATCCTCAACATGCGCCCGGTGAGACAGACAGCTTCATATCCATCTACTGGGTGAAGAAACTAGACACAGAAACGTGGGGTAACACCTGAGATCACCTGGTTAGAGCATGATGGAGCAGAACTTAACCCAGGAGCTGCCTCTCACCCCTGTGCTGAGTGACATGCAAAGGAGGGGCACATTCTGAGCCCTGAAGCATGTCAGTTCCCACTAAGCAGCAGGGATGGATCTGATGCTGCATGCTAGCCATTCCTGGGCTCATTTACTTGCTTCAGAGCTGCCCGGGGCAGAGCTGTGAGCACGGACTGCCAGCACTCAGCAGCTGGTTCTGCAGGCAGCACAGGGCTCAGAGCTCCAGCAGGCGGTGTGGACATCCAGAGCTCTGCCACAGGCTGGGCTGCTTGCTAACCACCTCAGCCCAACCTGCCTGGGCTGACCCTGGCTCCCTCCCTGAGGGAATCTGCCCTCCAAGCCAGGGTGCCTGGCTGGTGCTCCTGAGGTTCACGGCTTGCATGCACGAATCCTGCTAACCCGGCATCTGGAAAAGCTCATGGGTGGCTCCACATAACAAATCTAGGTGGCCCTGCCGGTGCCTGTCATCTGGGGGAACATTCCCTTTTCACAAAAAACTTCACTCCTTCACTTCGGTGCATCTCCTGTTGAAGCCAGAATCCAGGCATTTGGGAAATGGCAGCCCCAGGAACTCCGTTAGTTGGGACTGACTGACCACTCTCCCATTGTGCAGGAAATAAGAGGCACCTGGGCTCTCAGACTGAGAAGGATCCAGACGGCTTGGTCCATTCACCTCTCTCTCCATTCAGCCAGGCCACTTTCTTTGGGAGAAGTGCTTTTTTTTTTTAATAATAAATTTATTTTTTATTGGTGTTCGATTTGCCAACAGACGGAATAACACCCAGTGCTCATCCTGTCAAGTGCCCCCCTCAGTGCCCGTCACCCATTCACCCCCACCCCCCGCCCTCCTCCCCTTCCACCACCCCTAGTTCGTTTCCCAGAGTTAGGAGTCTTCATGTTCTGTCTCCCTTTCTGATATTTCTTACCCATTTCTGGGAGAAGTGGTTTTATTTCTGCTTGGCCTCCAAACAGGATCTGAGGCACACCAGTGACCTGCAGTCAGGTGCCCAAGAGGTGCAGGGAACCTTCCCTAGGCCTTCTCTTTGGTGGGAGAGGCCCGCCTGGGTGTAGACCACCTAGATGGTGCAGATGTAGTGCTGAGACCTGGGACAGGCTTCTCTGACCCTCAGAAACCCGGAAGATTCAGGGTGACCCCGAAAGACCTTTCTGGGCCACTGGGGCATGTGCAGCATAGTGCACAGTGTCAAGGAGCCCTTTGGGGGGCAGGCAATGGCACTGGACTCCAAAGGCTCAAAACCTCTCTGTGCGCCACCATGTGAACATCCAAGTGGACTCCCCCCCCCCCAAAGCGAGCTCGTAGCTTCCTGGCTGCCCACTGGGACCCGGGCTGACCACAGGGTTGTCCTGACGCTCACAAGGGCCACACAGGGGCAGCCTTTCTTAACTGTGACATTCCGCAAACGCGCTCCATTCCAGCCGGGCGCGGGCTCCACCCGCTTCACTCGGAGACGGCCGGGTGTCCCGCCGGATGGGGCGGAGAGGAGGGCGCCGTCTCCCCCAACTACCCCCAGCCCTGGCCTCAGCAACGGCCACGGCCGGGCGGACCGGAGGGGCTCTGGCAGCAGCAGGACTGGGTCCACCCGGCCGTGGGGTCGCCAGGGTCACAGGCGCGCGCGGAGATGGAGCAGCCCCCGGAGCGCCGATGCGGGGAGCCCGCCCCCCGTGCCCCCCCGCCCCGCCCCTTCCAGCCTCGGGCGCGGCTCAGGGGTCGCGCTCGGCCCTCGGCGGTGCCGCAGGCCCTGGGGCGGCCGGGCTGGGGGCGGGGCGGCGGGAGGGCCCCGCGCGCACCCCGCCGCCGCCGCGCACCCCCGGCAGCCCGCCAACGCCCCCTCCCCCGTGCGCGCCCCGCGTCGTTGGTGCCGCCGGGGCGCTGGCCACAAAGCCCCCGGGCGGACGCCGAGGCCCGGGCGCGCGGAGCCGGGGCGGGGCGGGGCGGGGCGGGCGGGGCGCGCGGGCCGGACCTCGCGGGGGGCGGGGGTGTCGGGTGTCACCCCCAGCGCACACCTCGGCCGGGGGCGGAGGGAGCGAACCACTGAGACGAGGAGACCTCCCCGGTCCTAGAGCGGAGCAGGAAGTGTCCCAGGGGAGGGAGCCGGAGCTCTCCGGCCTTTCCTTTCCTGCGCGTCCGGCGGACTCCGCGGCGGCCAGGCTCGGCGGCCCGCCACCGGGGACGCGCCTGGGCGGTGAGTGCGGCCCGAGCGGCCCGGGCCCCGCGCCCCGCGCCCCGGCCCCCGCGCCCCCCGCCCCGCGCCCCGGCCCCGACCCCCGCGCCCCCCGCCCCGCGCCCCCCGCCCCGGCCCCGCGGGCGCCCCCGGCCCCACGTCCCCGCGCGCCCCGGCCCCGACCCCCGCGCCCCCCGCCCCTCGCCCCGGCCCCCGCGCCCCGCGCCCCCCGCCCCCCGCCCCGGCCCCGCGGGCGCCCCCGGCCCCACGTCCCCGCGCGCTCCGCGTCCCGGCCCCGCGCCCCGGCCGCCTGCCCGGAGCCCAGCGGCGGGGACGGCGCGGGCGGGGCCGCACCGTGACACCGATGCCGCGTTTCAGGCGCCTCCGTGGCTCCCACCTCTCCACTCCCGGGCGCAGCCGCGGTGTTTGGATGAGCCAGGGACGGGAGGGGCCCCTGCGAGGAGCCGGCCCGGCGCAGGAAGGACGCCTGCGAGCGCGGGCTGCAAGGATGAGGAGCGGCTGCGGGACGCTTCCGCTGCAGCACGACAGATTCCAGTTAGACGCCGGGCGGGACTTCCAGGCGGTGAGGTGAGCAGCGCGGAGCTGGCGAGACTGCGGGAAGGGAGCGGGAGGGGACGAGGACAGCTGGCCCGGGCCTAGCCTAGCGTCCCCCCCCCCCCACCGTCCTGGTTGTCCTCCCCCCGGAGCTGCTGGAGGCACTACTCCCCGCCCGCTGCCGGAACGCCCCCAGGAACGGCGTGAGTTGATCCCTTGGGCCTCTTCTGCCGGGTGACAAAGGCTAGCGGGTTGTCTGCTGGGCTGATGCCCGAGGGCGTCAGGCTTCGAGGCCCTGCAGGTGTGAGGCCCTGCAGGTGTGCGGCGGGGGAGGCGCGCTCAGATCACAGCGTGCGGGGGGCGGGGGGGGGGGGGGCGGAGCTGCGGAGCCCATATCCTGATTTGTGTTACCTGGTTGCCCACCTGGCCTCAGTGCTCACCTGTGAAATGGGGGTGTCGGAGCCTTGCACACACTGGTGTCCACAGCTCTTCGAGGCCTTTCCCCATTTGCTCTACTTTGCTGGAGTCCCTGGGGCCACAGTGGTGGCGTTTGGCCACTGAGGTCACCCTGGGTGTGTGCCTGCCCCTAGGAGGTGCAGATGGCAGCACCCCACCTTGGCCCCTAGAGGACTTCACCCCGGTCAGAGATGACAGGGGGCTGCAGGGTGAAGGCAGGGTTGCAGGCCAGGGTGACCGAAATAGACCCCAGAGTGTGCTGCTCAGACTTTGTAGTGAGAGCTGGAGGGAGCTGCTTTTAAACATGAAGGTACTTTCTCTGGGTCCCCAGGGTGTGGCCGCAGCCTTGGCCTCTCCCCGCCCTTTGTTTCGTCCCATCCTGTCCACTATGCTGCCTGGGGTTCCTTCCCCAGGTCGGACACCGCTGCTCAGGCCTGGCCACCAGCACGGTTGACTTCTGCTCCTGGATCTGCTCGGAAGGCTCCTCCCAGGCATGCGCATCTTTGTCTTTCCAGCTCCTCTTGGAAAGGTCTCAAGGACCAGGACAGCGACTTTGGCTCCAAAGCCTCAAGATAGCAGCCCCCTGGGCTCCTGCGTCTCAGGTCCTGCCCAGGAGGCCCTGGCCCCCGAAGGTAACACAGAGCCTTCATTACACCAGTCTCCTGCACGCGGCCCTGCCCGTGTCCTGTCCTGCGCTTTCCCCCCAGACTCCCCACCTTCTGTGTCACCCAGCTCCGCGACTTACGTGCTTGTACTGTGGAATGATGTTGGGGGTGGTGGCATGCTTCCCTCTCTGTGTGTGCGAGGAGCAGGCATGCTGATGCCTCTCACATGTCCCAAAGCTTCTCCCAGGGGCTGGTCTGGGGGCTTCACCACTCTCCCCATCAGCACCCCCAAAAACCTCCCACAGGAGACCAGAACGTTGAAGCCAGTGATTTTTGTTTGGAAATAGGGTCGTCTTCTGCTGCTGACCCCCATCAAACCCCATCATGCCCACAGCCCTGTGCCCCCGAGTCTTGGCTCCAAAGGAAAGCGAGGAGCCCAGGAAAATGAGGAGCCCACCCGGAGAGAACCCCAGCCCCCAGGGGGAGCTTCCCAGCCCTGAATCCTCCCGCCGCCTCTTCCGCCGCTTCCGCTACCAGGAGGCAGCGGGCCCCCGGGAGGCCCTGCACCGCCTCTGGGACTTGTGTCGGGGCTGGCTGAGGCCCGAGAGACACACCAAGGAGCAGATCCTGGAGCTGCTGGTGCTAGAGCAGTTCCTGGCCATCCTGCCCCGGGAGATCCAGGGCTGGGTGCGGGCCCAGGAGCCTGAGAGTGGCGATCAGGCCGTGGCTGCTGTGGAGGCACTTGAGCGGGAGCCAGGGAGACCCTGGCAGTGGGTGAGTGGAGGGTGCTGAGCGGGGCGGGGCGGGCCAGGAGGCGGGAGGGGAGAGGCAGTGTCTGCATGCCCTGGCCAGGCTAGGAAAGTTTGCTAGAGCTCCAGGCCTCAGTGAGGCCCATGCTGGAGCGTCCGTCTCTTGAGAAGGTGGGTTTCCTCCTTGACGGGCCTGACCAAGGGTGTGGTCTTGTCAAGCTTCCTCACAGCCCTGCACAGGGTCTGGTTGCGCCTCCTGCGAGCAGCAGGCCCAGGGAGGGAGGGTGCTTGGCCAGTGTCCAGCATAGCCACCAGCCCCCACCTGGCCAGCTAGCCCTGAAAAGCTCTCTCTGGGGTTGCAGCTCAAGCACTGTGAAGACCCTGTGGTGATCGATGATGGGGATGGCCCTCCAGACCAGGAGCAGGAGCGGCTGCCTACAGAACCCCAGAGCGACCTTGCAAAGGGCCAGGACACCCAGCCCGTGGCGCTGGCACAGGGCCCTGGGCTCCCAAGCAGACTGCAAGGCCAGCTCAGCGGGGATCCAGGTACCAGCCCAGGGATGCCCCATGCTGGGTGCTCGGTGGGGGCCCTTGACTTCCGTGGGGGGAGCAGCCAGGCACCCTCACCCAGTGGGGTGTCTTGTTGCCCCCAACCACTTTCACCCCAGCTGAAAAAACAGCGGCTCTCAGGATTTGTTACAAAGTTGCAGGGGAATCTAAAACTGCCTCGGAGGGAACAGGGTGGCATTTTCAGGGCACGGGGCCTGAACATCACCGAGACACATTTGGCTGTCTGTAGGAAGAATGCCAGTGGCCAGGGGCCGTGGTTTGGCAGCTTGAACCTCTAGCTGTGACCCAGGGCACACCGCAAGCCCTAGTGCCCCATGTGCCCTCGGCTAGTGATCATCACCTTTACTGGGTTCTTGGAGGGTTAAAGGGTTATGCCCATTGAGTGCTGAAAGCAGGAACCCCAAGCTTCCCATGAGTTTGTCAGGTGAGCATCGTGGGTGGTTGTGGTTCTCTTGGGGTGAAGGCCGTGCCCTCTAAGGTGTGAAGGGTGGGTTGGGGTGGACTCGCCCCAGCGTCCTATCATTAGATCTCCGAAGAAGAGCCGGGAGTGCCTTGCTGTGACTCACACACGTGGGCCTTCAGAACACAGGCAGCGCTTCAGTTTGGGGAAAGAAAAAAAAAAAAGCATATTATATTTCTGTGTATGTGAAGTTAGCGTGAGTTCTGCACACATCATCTGCTTCCTGCTTGAGAGTCGGCGTGCTGGGCTGCTGGCCAAGCACAGACACTGTGCAGCCCAAACAGAAATGTGTGTTCTCCCTGTCCGGCAGGGTGTGGACAGGGCTACCCTCTCGCCAGGCTCCTCTGCAGGGCTTGTCACCGACTGCCGGCACCCTGGTCTTCACTGCCCCTGATCTATGCCCTGATCCGCTTCTGCAAGGATCTGGGTCCCTGGAGCAGGGCCACTGTGTGTGGCCGCTCCGCGGGAGACCTTATCTCTATATGTGGTCCTACCGTGAGGGTTGGAACCTCACCTTGTGGGTGTGGGAGGCACACCGTGAGGCCCATCATGCAGGCCTGGAGGAAGCAGCCATCCTCGCCGCCCTGCACGTGGCCCAGGTCAGCCTGGGAAGGGTCCTCGGGAGGATGGAGAGGAGCGTGGGGCACTGCCACAGCCTAGACACGCCTCCTGGTGAAGTTCTGGAGATGGCCAGTGGCCGCGGCTGGGCTTTGGTTCGGAGGGCCGGCACTTGTGTCTCCCTGAGCAGCAGCACATGGACAGGTTGTGAGTCAGATGTTGGGAGGATCTGGGACATGGGTCGAGGGTTTCTCACTGGGATGAGGCTGCAGTAAAAGCCAGAGTTCCCGCTCGTGCTGAGCTTCCCGAAAAGCCAGCTTTTCCTGGAGCCAGGAAGGTTTCCGGGGGGTTGGCATGGCGTCCCTGTTTTTCTATGTCGTGGGTCAGATAGGCAGTGGCTTGGGGCACTGCCCAGAGGGCAGCAGGTGTGAGCGCGAGTACAGACCCCTGGCCTGCGCCCCCTCACATTGGATGTGCACCCGTCGCTGCCGGCTGAGCTGGTTCCTGCCCAAGTCTTGCCCTGCTGTGTGGGACGCTGCTGTCCCAGGCCTGAAAGTGAGGGACGTGGGCCTCTCATGTCCGCTCTGGTGGGGATGTCACACGGGACCCTGGGTCAGCCTCCTGGATTTGCTCCCTGCGCACAGACGGTGGCGGAGCTTCCCAAGGCTTCCTGTGGATAACATTCCGGGCAGAGGAGGGATACTCTCCTGAGCCGGAAGGGGGGGAAACCCTGCATGGAGGCGGGTCGAGCACGGCTGCTGCCCCTCCCAGAGCTCCCATAGTGACAGCCATCCCCCTCTGGGAGCTCGGCATTGCTGAACTCGCACGGTCCACATTGATGAGTCCGTGGTCATTGCCGACAGCTGACCACCTTGATCTTGATGCCGTGGAGCTTGAGCCTGTATTTCCCCAACCTGGGGGGCGCTGCGGCCCCTGCTCCCGTGGCAGGTGGCAGAATGCTGCAGTGCCGACGTGCTCACAATGGCGCGCAGACTGGCCAGACCACTAGGTTGCATGCCCTAAGTGGACGCAATGCTGGGGAGGTGACGTTAAAATGAAATATGAGCATCACACATGCACACAGCCCGACCCTGGGCACTGCCTGCAGAAGCTCCCTCCTCACAGGCACTGAAGGTGTCGGAGATCCTTGAGGGCTGCAGGTAAGTGCACGTGTCCCCCACAGTCGGCCCACGGAGAAGAAGACACACACGGTTCTCTCTTTCAGTCCTGCAGGATCCTGGCCTCCTGGACGCGAACCTGAGGGATGCCCAGCAGGTGACGGCCCTGCAGCTGCCCTCGGTGAGTGATGTTGCCAGGGCCCCTGAACCCCGCCACTGCCATCTGTGCCAGCGGTGATGGTGACAGTGCAGGAGGACACGTGGCCTCCACCCCTGCGCTGTCTCTTGGTGTCCCCGGGCTCCCTGCTGTCAAGGGCACTGCACAGCGGATTTGCTTCTGTCCCCATGGTCATGGTGACTGTCCCAGAAGTGCAGGGCGTGGGGAGAAGGCCCAGATCCCCCGTACCAGGCAGGGGCTCTGCTTGTGACGCTGCACAGGGACAAGCTCAGCTCCCTTTCAGATGTCCTCAGGTGGACGAATGGTCCCATGCACTTCTTGCCCGTCACTGCCTCCCTGTTTCTCATCAGGCCCCCTTCATTGTTCTGATCCTTCCCGCTGGCTGGCGCACGATGTGGCAGTCCCCTGGGAAAGTGGGTGACATGAAGTGTGGGCCTCATGGGTGCAGGATGGTCAGAGGGTCCCAGGTTTGCCCTCCGTACCATGTGTTCCATGTGACTGAGGCCTGGGAGCAGGGTCAGCATAGGGCAGGGAGGAAGTAGCCGGTTTGGGGCATCAGCACGCATGCTTGGCCCTGCGGTGTCCCATGAAACAGGTCAGCAGTGACCTGTGGGGGGTGGGTAAACCCACAGTAGAGATCAATACATTTCACCCGAACGACATGCCAGGAGGGGCCATGACCTCAGTACCCGATGAGCTAGATCTTGTCTGAACCTGCCTGAGCTCCCGTAGGGCACACAGGATTCCCCCCCAAACAGGGTTTCCGCTCAGGCTGCTGAAAGTCACTACCACCAAGGGCTTAGGGTGCCAGAATCGTTTTAATAGTTTTTAAATTTGGGGGCCTCTGGTGGCTCAGTCTGTTGACTATTGGGAGTCTTCATTTTGGCTCGGGTCATGATGTCGGGGTCCTGGGGTTGCTTAGCCCAGAGTCAGCCTGTCCCCATCCCTGTGCACCCTTGCTTCCACCTGTGCTCTCTCCCCCCCCCACTCCCCAGATACAAAAAGATGAAACCTTCAATAAAAAACTTTTAAGGTTTTTAATTGTAGTGAAATACACATTGTATTAAATTTATCGTCTTAACTATGCTTAACATACAGCAGTGTCTGAGCATCCAGTGGTATAGTGTATGTTCACTCTGTTCTACAGCCCTGCTTCCAGAACTTTCTCACCCTCCCAGTGGAAACCCCTCACTTATTAGGTAACGGCCCTGTCCACCCGCCCCCAGCAACGCGGGCCATCTTTCTCTGAATGTGGCTGTTGCACCTGCACAGCGTCTGTGTCCTGGGATGGCTGTGTCCAGGCGTGGTGGCCTGGAGCTCCAGCCACGTGTGTCAGCCCATGGGCTCTCCTTCCTGGGGCCGAGCGTTGCCACCCGCTGTGTGTCACGCACCCTGTGCACTCCCTTGTCGACGGGCCCTGGGTTTGCTTTGGCGTCCTGGCCACTGTGAACATGGGTAGGCGTATGGCTCTTTCTGTGTACTTATGTTCACGTGGGGAAGGGACAGGCTGGCTTGTCTCCATTCTGCTGAACAGCCCTGCCTCAGGAAACTCCCGCAGAAGGTCCCCTCCGGCTGCTGACGGGGATGCATGCGCCCTCGAGGAGCATCCCGCCGTGCCCCGTGTGGCGAGCCCACGTCTGCTCTATCCTTAGCTGCCCGACCAGGAGGTAGCTGCAGTCTCTCCAGTCAGGGAGCTGGGGCATCGCTGCTTCGAGCCTCACCGGGTCTGGGTTCCACGGCTCATGCGGTGGAAGGACCTCTGGCTCGTGGCCCGTCAGGCCCGTTCTGCACAGAGCTGGTGTGGGTCGTGGCATGTGGGCTGTGGCAGGAGTGAGGCTGCTGCTCTGGGATGAATGCTCAGGCTTGTGGTTGCTGGGCTATAGACTGAGGGGTTAGCATCATGAGAAGCAGCCATGTGTGTTTCCAGAGAGGCTGTGGTACCCCCCTTGCCCTGTGCAGCATGAGCAAGGTCTACTCTGCGTCCTGGCCGCTGTTGGCACTGGGGGTGGCCTGCCGTCTCCACTTGGTGTGCGGGGTCCTTCCCTGCGTAGCAGCTCACGTGCTTGCCTGGCATCCACCCGTCCATCCTCTTCCATGAGATTCTTCTTCGTGACTTGTGCCCGAGTCCTAATTGGACGGTTTGCTTTTCTACGGTTATTTTCAGGGCTCCTTCCACGTCCTAGATGTTTGTGCTTCACTGGGTGTGTTTTGTGACTGTTCACCCTTGTTCTGGAGCTTGGTGTCTCAGCCCCTTACAAAAAACCTCCCATTTTTTTTTTTTTATTTTCCTCCCAGGTTTCATCCATTTGATTTTACTTTATTTTTATTTTATTTATTTTTTATTACAGTTGAAGCACGAAAGTTTTTAATTTGGATTTGGTCCAGGCTCTCAGTGTTTCCTTTTTTTTTTTTTTAATAAATTGATTTTTATTGGTGTTCAATTTACCAACATACAGAATAACACCCAGTGTTCATCCCATCAAGTGTCCCCCTCAGTGCCCGTCACCCATTCACCCCCACCCCCCGCCCTCCTCCCCTTCCACCACCCCTAGTTGGTTTCCCAGAGTCAGGAGTCTCTATGTTCTGTCTCCCTTTCTGATATCTCCCACACATTTCTTCTCCCTTCCCTTATATTCCCCTTCACTATTATTCATATTCCCCAAATGAATGAGAACATACACTGTTTGTCCTTCTCCGATTGACTTACTTCACTCAGCATAATACCCTCCAGTTCCATCCACATTGAAGCAAATGGTGGGTATTTGTCGTTTCTAATGGCTGAGGAATATTCCATGTGTTTCCTTTTAAGAATTGAGGTTTGTTGGTCTAATGGTTCTGTCCCAAGGACTCCCTGCTGTGCTTTTCCCTCCACATCACGGCCTTGCATTTGACCCCTGACCTGGGATGCGCTAGCCTTGCGCCTCAGGGCTGGGACTTTGATGGAGGAGGAGGAGCAGGAGGTGCGGGAGCAGAAGCAGGAGCATCTGGCCTGCCAGTGGCTGTCAGGTTGCTCCACCCGCTGTGTGGGCCTTTGCGGGGGTCACGCTCCTCCCTTCCTCCTTCAGGTACATTTGCTCCTGGGTCAGAAGTCACTTGCATGCTGTCTGTGGGTCTGTTCCTGGGCTTTTCACTCTGTCCCTACCTGCTTGTCTCTCCCTGAGTCTTGGATGTGGGCACTCGGATTCCTGTCATCCTATTTTTTTAAATTATTTTATCAATTTAGTCCCGCCGCTTTTCTGTGTAAATTTTAGAATAATCTTGATCCTTTCTACAAAAAGTCTTCCTGATATTTCAGTAGGAGTTCTGTTAAGCCCTTGTATCAGTTTGGGGAGCGCTGACATTTGGCCCCTGAGTCATTCTGTCTGCAAATGTGCCTACCTCTCTCTGGGCCTCTCTCCTGTTCTTTTTTTTTTTTTTTAAAGATCTTTTACCTTTTTATTTAAGTAATCTCTACGCCACACATGGGGCTCGAACCCACAACCCCAAGATCAAGAGTCACGCTCCCTAATGGAGCTGGCCAAAGGTACCCCGCATTTACTTATTTCTCCTTTGATTTTTTTCAGCAGAACTGTGTACTTCTCAGCATACAGCTTGTGTACATGTTTTGTTATATTTATTTATTATTAATTTATTTTTAAAGATTTTATTTATTTCAGAAAGAGTAAACATGAGTGTGGGAGGGGCGGCTCAGAGGGAGGAGCGGACTCCCCGCTGAGCAGGGAGCTGGATGCAGGACTGGATCCTGGGACGCTGGGATCATGACCTGAGCTGTAGGCAGATGCTTCAGGGACAGAGGTGCCCCCTCGTTAAGGGTTTCTGTATTGTACTCGTGGGACAGATACTGATCTTCACTGTCTGTCACTATCAGGGCGATTGATGCTGGGCTCCTGATGAATCAGGATGTGTCCCCTCCCATTTTCTGACAGAGATGGCTTATGATTGGTTTGATTCTTTGGTTGGGTGGTAGAATTGGTAGTGGAACGGGAAGACTGGAGATGTGGTGGGGTGGGGGGACGTGGTGTTGATTACAGAGCCGAGTCCTCCGTGGTGGCAGAGCTGGCGCTGCCTGCCGTTGGCTGCTGTTGGCGAGCACTCCTCAGACTGTGGGCTCCTTCCAGGACATCATCGCTGTCCATCTCTATCCCCACTACGTATTGGCAGGGTCTGTGATACCCTGTTTCAGCTCTGGAAGTGGGCGTCTTCTCTGTCAGTCTTGGATGTTTTCAATGTTACTGGGCTTTTCAAAGAACTAATTCATTGTTTCATTGATTTTTTTTTCTCTTTTGTTTTCAGTTTCATTGATTTCTGCCCTGTCTTTACTGTTTTCTCCTTCCTGCGTGCTCTGGGTGTATTTTGCTATTCCCTTTCTTGGCTCTTGAGGTAGGCGCTTCGATTATTGATTTGAGACTTCCCCGCACAGGTAGGCATTTTAATATAAACATTTCCGAGCTATAAATGTGCCTCTGAGAACTGCTTTAGCTGTGTCCCACAGACTGCAATATGATGTAGCTTTACTTTCACTTATTTCACTGTATTTTTCCATTTCCCTTGAGCCTTCTTTGACCCAATCATTATTTTAAAATGTGGTGTTGAATTTCCAAAGGCTTGGAGATTTTCCTGTTATTTCCTACCACTGATTTCCGGTTTGATTCCACTGTGGTCTGAGAACACGTGGTGTATGACTTCAGCTCTTCCTCCTTGTGGGGAATGTCTCCCCTCCTTCCAGGATGGGGCGAGACAGCTGTGGTCTGTCTCAGTGTGGGTATGTGTGCATTGGAAACCGCATCCACACTGCTGCTGGCAGTTGGGAGGCCCAGAGATGTTGATGGGAACCTGCAGGCTGTGCTGCTGTCCAGTCGTTCTGTTCCTGCTTATTTTGTGTCACTTGTTGAGAGTCAGGTGTCGAGGTCTGCAGCTGCAGGAGTTCCTGCCTCCTGTTTCCAGCTTCTGGTTTGGCTAATACACACAGAGGATTGCAGGGCCTCTTATTATATAATGTCCAT